CCGCGCCTGGCCGGGGCGGGGAGGCTGGCTTCCCCACTACTGTTTTTCGAGCACAGTTAAAAAATCAGCGCTCGTATTAACATGAAATTTTGAGCACCTGCTTATGCACTAATTTGGCATTTCTTGTGCCAGTTGAAGTTTGATTGAGAAGTTTGAAGAAAATTGATAAAGGTCAGTTACCTGGGTCAGGTGAATGAGTCCAATTTCTTAAAAAACTTTGATCATACATAATTTCGTGTGTGGGTCATATGTCATTGGTCAAACTTGCCATAGTAATAAAAATTCATAATGCCTATAGTTTGTATATTTCGGACTCTGAAAAATTAGGCACCGTCATGTACCTAAAGTCTGGTCAATTTTGGTTATTTTTTCGTAAATAATGCAACTTTGTCCGTTTTTGTGTAGTTTTGTTGCTTTTTATGAGGAAAGGAGTACTAAGTCACATGCTCAACCAGCATACAACTACAAAGCACAAGGCCTTGGCCCATGTCATGAGCTATCCCATGCCCATGGTGTCTTCTGCAAAACACATAATGAGCTCCAAATAGGCAGTTTTTAAAGGTAATCTTGGACGCGGAATTTGAATAATTTGATGAAAACATGTAGTATTGTTTTAATCATTATGAGGTAACAAAAAGTCACATGAGCACATATAAGGTCACATTAGGTCACCCAAGGTCAACGGCCTCTGTTATCAGCAGCGGAGAGGCTAGATGAACAAGTGCGACGCGTGTAACCACCTCTATATTGTGTTTGTAAGCTAATGACGTATAATTGCATGTACCAACGTAGCTGTTCTCAGTTTGTTGCAAATAAGCTACCACGCGTCGAAAGGACTTTGCATGTTGGTATGTCTGGGATACGTTTGCCCTACAGCTGTATCTAATAAAATAAACTTCGTCCGAAGCACATTGTGAAAAAAAACAAAAAGGTATCGCTGTTGTAAGACAATAGTAAACCACCTTTGAACGACGACCTGACCTGACCTTAACCTTGTGGGGGAGCAGAAATGATCGAAATGGACTCCCCAGTGTCTTAACGCCTTTTCTGTGCATTTTATATCCGTATTGACATGTTAACACGTTTATCTACATCTATCAGAACGGCCGTTTTGACAATTCGAAACCTCTATGACCTCACATTTAACCTCAAACCAAAATTTTGGGGACATTCTTCATGATTTGATGAAGGCTTTGCAACAGTGTCCTCTTTTTTCTCGTGTAATGTCTGAAAGTTGATGATCCCAGGGGGAGTTAACTCCCCCTCCCCCCCCCGCTCGATCACGGTTGTCTCAGCCCCCCGGTCGAGCACAGGTTACCCTGATTTTTAGCTCTTCTAGTGCAGAATGTTGGTGACATTTAGCGCATGTGTACCGGAGACTTCCGTTCACTTCATCGAAGCGGTGGGACATGAATACAGCACCGTTATATACAGCACCGTTACGATGAACCACCAACAGAGAGGAATGCCTTCCAGGAAAGTTAGGATGGTAAAACGAATTTATTTGGACATGCATCTCAAAAATGTTTCTCGGAACAGCAGATCTTCTTAAATTGGCAATTGCATGCGTAAAAGCGCCACGTTTTTCGTGCGTTTTATATAGTTTAAATCTGGCGCGGCCATTTTACACATATTTACATTTCGTCATTTACATCCCATGTCTTATTCATTTACACGTACACAGCCTAAGCATCTATAATTTCCCATCGAGTGTTATATGGTTCGAACGTAGACCGTTGCGGTGTTTCAGCAACAGTTAACTCAATGAGTCGAGGTCACTAGACGTTCACGTGTTTTCTGCTGGATGTCTGCCTAGACCCGGCTGCATTATGTGGCGGTGGAGAACCCGGCGGCCGATGGCCAGCTTCCCCCGAGAGTGGGCCTGTTTCGGACGATCGACAAGGGTCCCAGTGGATTCAGACGCGCAGCTGATGACCGCAGCTTTTTCGCCGGCTTTTAAGGGGCTAGATCATCAACGTGGCTGCTACGTCAGACCTATTGACGTATCCAAGAATCTCCGAACACTTAGGCGATCGACCTTAGCTCTCAACGAACAAAAGCCCGTGGTCACGAGCATGCAATTCGGGAGAGGTGCTTTAAATTCAACATTTTGTTGGATTTACACACCATACAACACCCGGCCATGGATGGGTGGATCGCAAGGCAGACGTACCAGTCAACGGAGCTTTCAGAACAGACAGGGCCGAAGAAAGCGGCCTGGTGAGTTCAAAACCGCTCCAAATGCTTCCATGGGCCATCCGTTTTTTGTTAGTTTCAGTCACATAACTCTAGGTCACGAGGTCATGGATGTTGAGTTTAAGTATGCCAATTGAAAATAGCCAAAAGATACATTGGATCATTGCTAGTTCAGATGCTCAGCATGAATTGTTCACTGCGAGTTCAGCAGTACACAGCTAATTACAATTAAGATAAATTTGGTTGAGTGATAGATTTTCAAATGCCCCTTGTTAGCTGGACTCATAAAAGTACACGAAAACACAGCTCCCCACTTGTTGCTCTGATCTTAGCACAGGTGAACTCTGGACATGACACATACTATGGCATTATTTTGGCCTATTCACCATCCGATCTGTGGCGGAATGCTCCTGCATAAGTATGAGCCGGTGCCTTATGCGACACGACCAAGCGCATGATAAACAGAATGCCCCTAGAAGGAACGCCTCCATGAAATTAGCTCTGTGTCCCTAATCTTCGTTATGTATGGGAGGAAGTCATTAAATTGCGCACTATGACACGCCCCGAACTGATAATCATAAAGCATTCCCGCATGACAGCGGACCGTTTTATGCTCATGGATATTGATGATGGCCGCGATCCTCAGAAGCGGACGAATGTCGACCCTAACGCAGACCATGGGAGCATCCACAGCATACAAACCCGACATTTTTCCTTATCAAGCGGCTCATCTTATATCAAGCGGTCGTGACGAGTCATGCCAGTCAGGCAATCATTGCGGGCTTCATCACGGCAAGTCCCAGTGTACTGGTCGCCTTATGAGGACGCGGCGCAGCGCGCAGGCCTCACGTACTTAAACCGATTTTGAGAACAGCCTGAAGTGCCAAGGGATACTGGCGTCTCAGGCTGTAACAGCAAAAACGTGTAGTTAATTGAGTGCACCTGTTGCTGGAAAGCACCAGAGGAGAGGTTGGCCTGCTGGCCAGTGACCCCGTCTCTTTCTCTCTTTTTCTCTTTTTTCTCTCTGTCTCTGTCTCTGTCTCTGTCTCGGTTCTCGGTCTCGGTCTCGGTCTCGGTCTCGGTCTCGGTCTCGGTCTCGGTCTCGGGTCTCGGTCTCGGTCTCGGTCGTCTCGGTCTCGGTCTCGGTCTCGGTCTCGGTCTCGGTCTCGGTCTCGGTCTCGGTCTCGGTCTTCGGTCTCGGTCTCGGTCTCGGTCTCGGTCCGGTCTTCGGTCTCGGTTCTCGGTCTCGGTCTCGGTCTCGGTCTCGGTCTCGGTCTCGGTCTCGGTCTCGGTCTCGTCTCGGTCTCGGTCTCTCGGTCTCGGTCCTCGGTCTCTCTCCTCTCTCTCTCTCTCTCTCTCTCTCTCTCTCTCTCTCTCTCTCTCTCTCTCTCTCTCTCTCTCTCTCTCTCTCTCTCTCTCTCTCTCTCGCTCTCGCTCTCTGCTCTCGCTCTCGCTCTCGCTCTCTCTGTCTCCCTCTCTCTTCCTCTCTTTCCCTACCTCCCACTCTCTCCCTCTCTCTCTG